CACTGGATAGTCTTCAGCTAAAACGTCCTGACGCCTAAGGCCCAGGACTTCTGAGGGCCGGCCCCCTCTGGGGAAGAGCGCTGTACACCTCATTATACGGTGGCCATCTCCTCAGTGCTCTCAGGAGATCAATCTGCCAACCCTGCCACCTACGGTGCTTCAGGGCGCAGAGGTCTTCGGCGAACGCTTCTCTCAGCCTCCGCCCGGAAACGTTGCGGTACTAAGAGGCTCGCTACCTCTTTGGCGATTTCTAGGGCAGCTAGTTCGGCCGTTCCCTGCTGGTCCGCCGCTTCAGGGTACCGACCTAGCCACTCTAAGTGCACCAGAGGCCAGTCTCGAGAGACTGGTTCCCTTAGTAGGTCACCTGGCGGCGTGGGAGCCCCTGCCAAGCGTGTCTCATTGGGTCCTGCCCCGAGCAGGCTCTGGTAATGGAACAAGAAATTAACACTCTCTTGAGGAAGGAGGCCATCGAGGTGGTCCCTTCTCTCGACAGACAGTTTGGTTCTACAGTCGGTACTTCATCGTCCCAAAGAAGGATGGAAGTTCCTGAGGTTTGCTTTTGGGGGCAAAAGCTTACCGGGTTCTTCCGTCGGCCTTGCACTCTCACCCCGCACTTTCACGAGGTGTGTGGATGCTGCTCTGGCTCCTCTGTGACTCCAGGGCATCCACATACTCAACCACATCGATCGTTGATATTAGCTCAATCTGAGCAGATGGCGGTTCGGCATCGAGATGTCGTTCACGCTCACTTGTAAGAGCTGGGGTTTAGACTTAACGCCAAGAAAAGTGTGCTTTCTCCAGTACAGAGAACCACTTATCTGGGTGTGGTGTAGGATTCGACCACGATACAGGCACGTCTGTCTCCTGCTCGGTTTGAGTCGGTCCTCACTGCAGTCGCGAGAGTGAGAGAAGGCCAGTCACTCACTGTCAGCAGTTCCAGAAACTGCTGGGTCTGATAGCAGCTGCGTCCAATGTGATACCCTTTGGCCTGCTGTACATGAGACCCCTACAGTGGTGACTCAAGACCAAGGGGTTCTCCCTGAGGGGAAACCCGCTCCGCATGCTCAAGGTCACGCGGCGATGCCTACGTGCCTTAGACATGTGGAGTAAGCTTGGTTTTTGTCTCAGGGCCCGGTGCTAGGAGCTCCTTGTCACCGCGTAATGCTAGCGTCGGATGCGTCCCTCACCGGTTGAGGAGTGGTCATGAGTGGCCGCTCAGCCCGCGGTCTGTGGAGCGGCCGCCATCTCACGTGGCACTTCAACTGCCTGGAGATGCTGGCTGTTTCTCTAGCATTGAAACACTTTCTCCCAGACCTAAGAGGTCGCCATGTGTTGGTGCACCGACGACACAGCGGCGGTTTCTTAAATCAACCACCAGGGAGATTTGCGTTCGCGCTCCCTTTACAGGCAGGCGCACCAGATCCTTGAGTGGTCCCAGAGTAGTTCACTTGCAGCTTCCTGTCTCTCAACCGAGGTTGTTAAGACCATTCTCCAATCCAGAGCTCCCTCTACGAGGAAACTGTATGCTCTGAAGCGGAATCTTTTACTTCTTGGTGCAGAGACCGTCAGCTCGACCCAGTTTACTGCCCAGTTGGTACTGTGCAGAAGTTTCTCTGCAGGGTTGACCCACTCCACCTTGAAAGTCTACATGTCGGTGGCCAGTCAGTGGGCAGACACCCCCTAGTTACACGTTTCCTCCACGGTGCGCTGAGGCTAAGCTTATGCTAAGCGGTGGATCAGGATGCTTTTTCATAGCCTCGAGTCCTCTGATCTCCCCTCTCCTTTAGGGGTCAAGACTCACTCCTTCTGAAGTTGGCCTTCGGGATGCTGCGGGATGTCCCCGCCTACTTTGTCAGGTGCCTTCCTGCATTCTGCGCCACTCCTGGCTCCTTTCTCTCGCCTTAGCTGTGCTCTTCCACACTAGGCAGGGATTGGTAAGTCTGGCTGTGTGGCCATACTCGTTCCCAAAGCGTTTCCGACGCAGCTCCAGTTCCTGAAGGGGAACGTCTCCAGGTTATGAATGTAACCATGGTTCCCCGAGGGAACGAGACGCTGTGTCTCAGTGCCATACTTCCGGCATCCCTGTGAGCGCTTGCTTCATTCCTAGAAGCTGACGCCGGTTCCACTGCACGTGCTTTTATAGCTTCCTGGTTGCAACGTCACCCGCCCATGACATCTCGCCCATCTATTGGACTGATTTCATATGTGATTCAGAGCATGGTCACGCTGGGGGCGTTCCCAAAGCGTTTCCGATGCAGCGTCTCGTTCCCTCGGGGAACCATGGTTACATTCGTAACCTGGAGACGTTTTTCATGAAACACAGTTTGGTAAAACCTGCTGTAATGTAATGTTTAATGCATTTCATGATATTGATAACAAATAATTAAATATATTTTCTTTCTCTTTGTTTTTTTAATCAATATGGTTCTCAATAATTCCATTGGAGTCTATGTGATAAACGAGTTACCTAATATGTGTAATCCAGATTGTTACTTTTCATCAGGTAATTTATAATCAGGAATGACCTACAGTTCGTAAGTAATCTACTCAGCACTGCTAATATGTGTTTAGTAGTAATTCTCTTCTCTGTTTTCCTGCAGTTGTCGCTAATGTGAGCGAGCTCCTGGGTCTGGACAGTTTTCAGTTGTCTGAGGTTCTGACCCAACGTTCCATGATCCTCAGAGGAGAAGAGATCTGCTCTCCTCTTACAGTGGAACAGGTAAAGTCACATATACTTTCTCATAATGATATACTTTAATTAAAAAAAATTGGCTAGTTTAACAGTTCTTCTCTTCTGTCTCTACTTGATCAAAAATGGGCATTTTATTTTGTCATGCTTGATTGACAGGCAATAGATTCCCGGGATTCGGTTGCCATGGCACTTTATTCTCAGTGTTTCTCGTGGATCATCATGCGAATTAATCAGAAGATAAAGGGCAAAGATAATTTCAAGTCTATTGGAATCTTGGACATCTTCGGTTTTGAGAACTTTGAGGTGTGAGGCCACATGGATCACATGATCATGCACAGACACACATTTTTATAGAGATCTAACCCAAGTGTTTGTGCTTTCTGAAGGTGAACCGTTTTGAGCAGTTCAACATTAACTATGCTAATGAGAAACTGCAAGAATATTTCAACAAACACATCTTCTCTCTGGAGCAACTAGAGTACAACAGGTAAAGAAGACTGACAACCGTGAGAGCATGACAATTTGCTCTGCAATTACATATATTCTTATATGTGTAAAGTATCTCCTAAGTGCCTAATCACACTATTTTTGATTTTAGTTTTTTGCATAATTTTTGTGAATGCAATTTAAGTATTTAAAAAGATTATTGTTAAGCTTGTACAAGTTTTGTATACTAAAACTGGTGAATTGTGTCGTACAGGGAAGGCATTCACTGGGAAGCCATTGACTGGATGGACAATGCAGAATGTCTGGATCTGATTGAGAAGGTAGAAGAATCATGGTTAGCTGTCAGGAACAGTTCATTTTAATTTTAAAATTTAATTGAATTTAATTTAGTCTGACTGACACATATTTATACATTCCTTCAAACAAAGATTCATTTGATTATTACAATAACTGAAGTTTTCAGTTTTGTATTATTTAACACTTACAATATTTAATGTTGTGTTTGTGCAGAAATTGGGCATGTTAGCACTGATTAACGAGGAGAGCCGATTTCCCAAAGGCACTGACTTCACCTTGCTGGAGAAACTGCATGGCAGACACTCTGTGAGTTAAGCTCTCATCATACAAAGACATAATATAATTCAACCAAGCATTCAGTGTAATAACATGAACTCACTAAACATATGAGGTTGTCTTTTTCCACAGACTAATCCCTATTATGTGAAACCCAGACTGGCAGACCATCAGTTTGGAATAAAACACTATGCTGGAGAGGTATATGAAATATCCATCTGTCTGTCTGTATATCCATCTATTTATCTCTCTGTTTGTCTCTTTTCTTCATAATTTTTTGTCTTCCTTTTTATAGGTCTTGTATGATGTGAGGGGGATTTTAGAGAAGAACAGAGACACATTTAGAGATGATATACTGAACATGCTGAAGGATAGTAGGTAAGACGCAAACACACAAATGCACAAGCTCTCACACACACACTGAGGCAGTTTTGTTTGAGTTATTCTGTGTGTGTGCAGATTGGATTTCATCTATGACCTGTTTGAGCAAGTGAGCAGCAGAAATAATGAGGAGACCTTGAAGATGGGCACGGCAAGAAAAAAGCCAACTCTCAGCTCACAGTTCAGAGTGAGATAAAACTCCCATATCAAGACTTTTATCTATATAATAGACCTTAAATTGAACATGCTAAAGTGCTGCATGTTAAAACAATCAGGAACTGCCTGCAGTCCCTTCTGATTTGTCAAACATTTGATCGGTTGTCTCTTCTGTCTCTCAGGACTCTCTTCATGCCCTAATGGCCACTCTAAGTGTATCCAACCCCTTTTTTGTGCGTTGCATAAAACCCAACATGGACAAGGTGAGAGAAGTCACATCAGCTAATGAGAATGCAATTTAAAAATAAATTCTGGGGTGTATTCCACACGTTATAAATTTTAATAATGCATTTTGCTTTTCTTTTTTTTTTTTTTGTTCTTTAGATCCCAAATAAGCTTGACCCGGATGTGGTTCTCAATCAATTGCGGTACTCTGGCATGTTGGAGACAGTGAAGATTCGCAGAGCTGGATTCCCTGTCCGACGCACCTTTAAAGACTTCTTCAGCAGGTAGATGTTAAAACGCATACAGGTGCATGAATTTTTGTTGTCTCAGCTTTTCTTGGAGACTATGATTTTGTGGTTGTATACATCAGGTATACGATTATCCTGAAGGAGAAGGAAAAGGCTGCTGTGGCTTCAAATGGAGATGAGAAAAAGAAGAGCACAGATTTGCTGACACTCCACAGCAGGACGAAAAAGGATTGGCAGATTGGGAAGACCAAGGTGAGTGACCTTTGACCTCTTGCTCTATCGCATCTTTTTCTCATCTTTTTCTGTCTGTGAGATTTTAAAGGTAGACTCACACATGAACATTTTCTGTCATGTATGTGCACTTGTTATGTTTGATTGCACTAACCTGATATGATTTTTGATCCCAAGGTGTTTCTGAAGGAACCCCTAGAACAGAAGCTGGAGAAGCAGAGAGATAAAGAGCGAAGCAAAGCTGGACTGATTATACGAGCCTATCTTCTGCGATATATAGCAAGGTGTGTGTATTTCTTAGTTTTTGCACAGATTTGCTTAGATTACATTAGGTATAGTTTCCCAAAAATGTTCAACACACAACATTTCTTTAATCTCCTTTTGGATTTGAACATGTGTCACCCGCCCCTTCAAAGCACACACATTACCTATATGGCCTAGTTTCCGACCTGTCCTGATGATTTTTTATGGGCATCTTTTCATCCTATATCACATTTAGGTTTTGCTCAAGTTTCCCATAATACAGTAATTGTTTTTTTCCCTCAGAGAATGATACCAGAAATGTTTAAATATACACTACCATTATTTTTTATGTTTTCAGCAGAAGTCTCTTATGCTCATCAAGACATTTATTTGATCAAAAATACAGTAAAAAAACTGTAATATTGTGAAAAAATTTTACATTTTAAAATAACTGATTTCTGTTGTAATATATTCTAAAATATAATTTATTCCTGTGATGACAAAGCTGAGTTTTCAGTTTTCAGCATTACTTGATCCTTCAGAAATATGCTGATTTGGTGCTTCAGAAACATTTCTTCTTATTATTAATGTTTAAAAATTTGTATTATTTGATGAACAAAAACAGCATTTGTTTTGTTTGTTACATAATAAATGTCTTTACTGTCACTTTTAGCAATTAAATTTGTCCTTTGTGAATAAAAGTATGAATTTCTTAAAAGAAAATCTTACTGACCCCATACTTTTGAATGCGTATTAAAATAACATTTATATACAGTGCATCTGTCAAACTGTACACAAAGTTGTTGCTTAAAATGTGTTGCAAAAAAGTGAAATGTTAATAAAAATAAAATTAACAACAAAGCAAAACAAAACACAATTAAATTAATTTATTTAAAAATAGGAAATTAATTTCCTATGAATTGGTTTCTATGTGCCTTCTTATTACAAAGTTGTCTTAAAATAACCACACAGCCCTGGGCAGTGCTGTAGACTCTTTTGCTTTATACTTACAGCCAAATAGCAAGGAAATCATGAAAGCAAAACTCACAACAGCAAAGGTTTTTCATGCTGTATATGTGTAAATGCATAATCTTTGTGTGTTAGTGCTCATCTATAGACATGATAACAATCAAGTAGTGTCTTAGTGACCGCTTTTAAATACTGTTCTCTACCAGAGACAGTTGCTTATTCTAAGGGAACTTAAACTGTGTACTAACTACAGAAAGAACTTTAAGAAGGCTCTGGACAGCATTGTGACCATCCAGAAGAACTACCGTGCACATCTCTATCGACGTCGGTTTCAACGGAAACGCTCAGCTGCCCTTGTTCTCCAGAAACACAGGCGAGGGCAAGTGGCAAGAGGAGTCTTCCACAAACTACAAGAGGAGAAGAGGAAGAAAGAGGAGGAGGAAAGGAAAACGAAAGAGGAAGAGGAGAAGAAAACAGAGGGAGACCATGAAAAGAGAAATGAAGAGGAAATGGAAGGAGGAAAAGGGGCAGCAGAGGTAAGTGACTTTAACATTACTTTTGTAGACTATAGCTGTGTATGTATTTATAGGGCACAAATCCCACTTACCATTGAAGTCACCATTAGGGAGATTAGTGTTCAATGTATATTTAACAAATGATCAACAGTTTTTTAAGCTAGTCTTATCTTACTCCAAACTTTGAAACTTTACATCATGCATATGCAATATGTATGTTTAGCTAAGCTTTAAAATGCAATTTTGTCTGATTATGCTGCTTGGTTGTGATTTTTGTTTTCACATAGCTTTGTCTTTATTCTATATAAGCCCATTTCTGCCACATAAGAAAAAATGCTTTGGAAAATCATAATTATGACATAAAAAGTCACAATTATCACATTAAAAGTTGAAATTATGACATAAAATTTACATTACAACATAAAAGTAATTTTGAAAATTCATTTTCAAGTCATAATTATGAGATTCAAAATATAACACACTAACATACTAAGTCACAATTATGATGAATATATATATATATATATATATGTCATAACTATGACTTTTTATCTTCAAATTTTACTTTTGTCAAAATTTTGACTTTTTATCTCACTATATATATATATATATATATATATATATGTATATAGTTTTGTTTTTTTTAACAAATGACAATTTCTACCCAACAAAATATTTTCGAGTTTGCTATAACTAGAAAAATATTCATTATTGAAATTTCCTTGACTTTACAGGTCTAGAAATCACACTTTTTCATCACAAGTTTTCCAAGATTGTGAGAACCTTGGTTTTTAAATAAAAATGACAGTTATTTAGAGAATGATTTAAGACAAGAAATAAGATGCCAATTTACATCATTTTTGTGGCTTAATTTAAAGCTTGTTTGGTCATATTTTAAATAATTTAAAGACATCTTGAGACCTGTATAAAAGTATAAATCTTCTTTATCTCTTCCATAGCTGGCTTGATGATCCCGTGGCGCAGGCGTTGGTGTGTTCTGAAGGACGAAACATTCATGTGGTTCCGCTCTAAACAGGAGTCGTTAAAGTCAGGCTGGCTGTACAAGAAGGGTGGCGGTCTATCGACTCTCTCTCGCAGAAACTGGAAGATGCGCTGGTTCGTTCTGCGTGACACCAAGCTCATGTACTTTGAGAATGACAGCGAGGAAAAGCTGAAAGGGACAATTGATATCCGCTCAGCCAAGTAAGTATGAGAGAAATAGGAAACCATATTGTGGTATAATTAGGTGTCTATGTCAGATACAAAGACCGTTTTTGTGATTGTTGTTCGCAACTTACAGAAAACCTGGATCAGGTTTTAAGTTTTTTCCTGTTTTTAGGGAGATTGTGGACAATCATGAGAAAGAGAATGCTCTGAATATTGTGACAGATGAGAGAACATACCAGGTGTTTGCCGAGTCACCAGAGGATGCCAGGTACGCTGACACCTTTATCTCCATGTGTTTTCCATAATTGGACCAAACTGCTCGTCCTCACTCTGCACTCTTTCTTTTGCTCTCTTTCTCTTAGTGGTTGGTTTACCGTGTTGAGTCGGGTCCACAATGCCACCCCAGAGCAGCTGCTGGAGATGTCTCATGAGCAGGCCAACCCAAAGAACGCTGTGGTCAGTGTCCTTACACTTTGTGCACTTTCACCATTAAATCTCCTTTCTATTTCAACAACTGGCTTTGCTCTCTTTCTCTCAGGGCACACTGGATGTTGGATTGATTGATTCAGTTTGTGCTTCAGACAATCCTGACAGGTGAGTGTCAAGAATAAAATCAACGGCTGAAATTACTTACAGCACTTGAAGCTGAATTGTGTTTTTTTTTCTATTTCTGTAGTTTTCATTTTTAATTTTGTGTTCCCATTTGCTTCAAATTTGCCATCACTCCCTCAGCTGTTGTACTAGAAACGTTTATGTTAAACGTTTAAATAATTTTCTGTGATTTAATGACAAGATAATATAATATTTTTTTTTGTTTTTAAACGTAACAAATAAATGAAAATTAAAAAATACTTTATTTGTGACCCTGGACCACAAAACCAGTCATAAGGGTAAATTTTTTGAAATTGAGATTTATATTGATATTTATTTCCATTGATGTATGGTTTGTTAGGATAGGACAATATTTGTAAAATAATCAAAATATTGAGAAAATCGCCTTTAAAGTTATCCAAATGAAGTCCTTAGAAATGCATATTACTAATGATAATACTTTTTTGATATATTTACGGTAGGAAATTTACTAAATATCTTCATGAATATCTTCATGAACATGATCTTTACTTAACATCCTAATGATTTTTGGCATAAAAGAAAAATCTATCATTTTTGACCCATACAATGTATTTTTGGCTATTGCTACAAATATACCCCAGCGACTTATGACTGGTTTTGTGCTCCAGGGTCACATTTACATTAATAACTGGGGAAGCTTATCATCACAGTTTATGAAAAGGGTCCATTATGAGTGAGCCATTTTTTGGCTCTGTCAAAATATTAATATTTGAATGTTTATGGTATGCTAATGGCACAGAAGTTACACACTTTACCTTTAACATTTGAATTTGTATGGCTAAATATCTGAAGATATAAAGTGTCTAACGTTACCATTTTTATCTGGTGCTAACACAAATTCTATTTCCTTTCAAATAGGCCCAATTCATTTGTGATCATCACAGCCAATCGTGTGATCCACTGTAACTCCGACCTGCCGGAGGAAATGCATCACTGGATCAGTCTGCTGCAGAAACCCAAAGGAGACTCCAAGAGTGATGGACAGGAGTTTCTGGTCAGAGGTGTGTTATTCATCTTCAGTTCAGTTGTACAGTTGTAATTCAGTTGTAACCTGAATTTAGGCACCAAATAAATTTTATTTGTGGTTGATTAGTTATATAACATGTCCATGAGTATTTGGATTTGATATTATTGTATTAAAGACAGTGTATATTTTAGGTTCTGTAACTGGTCACAATTTCCTTAAACTGTGTGTGTCTTTGTGTTCTTTTGTGACACAGGATGGCTGCACAAGGAGATGAAGGCAGGAGCCAAAAGTTCTGCTCTCAAACTAAAAAAGCGCTGGTTTGTCTTGACAAACAACTCTCTGGACTACTACAAGTCTTCTGAACGTAATGCATCTAAGATGGGCACGCTGGTTCTGAACAGCCTGTGCTCTGTGGTCCAGCCGGAGGAGAAAAAGTTTAAAGAGACAGGTGAGTATGATATGGTCACCATATGATGTGACTGAGTATGATATTATTAAAAGTATAATATGGAATTACAGCTCAGTAAGTAATAGAACAGAATACGAAAGTCCACACCATATCTACAATGATATCAACACAGAGGAAAAATATATTTGGAATCACTTTCAGAATATTATTATTTTTTTTTACAGCTGATGAACTCTAAAATACATTGACTGCCAATCAGAAACCACCAGACTTAAAGAGCTCAAGCATTTAAAGTGGCAGACAATATATATTAGTGTGTGTTTATAATAAGCAACATTATCTTCTGTTGGTGTGGACGCTAATAAAGTTATTGTTATAGTTATATTTACAGTTATCATTCTTGGTGTGAATGTACCTTTAGAGAAAATTCTTTTCACACATTTGTTTCACAAATAAGGAAGCAAAAAAAATAATAATTGTTTAAAAATAATTGTTTGGAACTGTTGGACCACACTGGCCGATAACCGATTAATCAACCGATATTTTTTTTAATGGATACTGAATGAAAACTAAATAGTGCTGAACTTTATTCCAAAAAAAAGTCCTGAACCATGCTTTTTAAATAGAATAAAAAATATTAATATGAAATATTAATTATAAATTGATAAATTTGTAATGTTAGTTCATAGTTGATTAACTAATGTTAACAAATGCAACTTTAAAATTAAAAATGTATTGGTATTGAAATTAACACACTCTAACAAGGAACAATACTTCTACAGCTTAAATTAACCTTAGTTAATGTTACAAATGGAATCTTACGAATTGTAAAATGTTATCATTTCATATAAAATAATTGTTTAAAAATAATTGTTTGGAACTGTTGGACCACACTGGCCGATAACCGATTAATCAACCGATTTTTTTTTTAATGGATACTGAATGAAAACTAAATAGTGCTGAACTTTATTCCAAAAAAAAGTCCTGAACCATGCTTTTTAAATAGAATAAAAAATATTAATATGAAATATTAATTATAAATTGATAAATTTGTAATGTTAGTTCATAGTTGATTAACTAATGTTAACAAATGCAACTTTAAAATTAAAAATGTATTGGTATTGAAATTAACACACTCTAACAAGGAACAATACTTCTACAGCTTAAATTAACCTTAGTTAATGTTACAAATGGAATCTTACGAATTGTAAAATGTTATCATTTCATATAAATCCAAACAGTCATGCTTAAAAATGGCCATGTTTAAACATCTACACAAAGGCCATAGCACTGAAATGACATATGTATATTGTACGTATACTTTCACACTTTATTTGCTTTTATTTTGGAACACTTGATGATCATCCAATCAAAGTAATAAAAAGCACAGCGGACAGAAAGCGCAGCACCGCGTCTATAACTGCCAGGTATCACACACCAGACGCATCGTGTTCAGTTCAAGCGGCTGTCCAGAACATTTTATTTAATCACAAAACAGGCAAAGGTTCACTACAGGAATGAACAAAGTGGCGTTGATGAGTTTGAAATTTGGAGCAAAACGGAAAGAGAAAGTGCAATCTGAACTGTAGCTCTCTGTATGAAGCATACAGAATTTTATTAGAGCCACAGAAAATTTTCTCTGAAAAATTCATAATACACAATCTTCCAGCCTTGGGTGAAGTCATTATACATACGAACAGCGATCTTATTTAATTTACTTTTTTCTAATACAAGTATTTAAATTGTTGGTTATATGTCATTCATTTTGCATTTATTATGAATAATGAGCATATGTTAAAAATTTAGAAATTATGAATTTGTTTTTCTCTCTATAAACTAAGATACATGGTGATGCTGATGTCTCGTTACACTGTAGGTTACTGGAACATCATAATTCATGGGCGTAAACATTCATACCGTCTGTACACCAAGATGCTGAATGAAGCCATGCGCTGGGTGTCTGCCATTCAGGGCGTCATTGACAATAAGGCGCCCATTGAAACGCCCACCCAGCAACTTATTAGGGACATCAAGGTAATCCGTTTTTAAAACATAAGTCTGTTTTTTGCACTCAAGGTTAGAATGGATAAAGCTGTTGTTTAATAAAAATGGTACATAAATCGTGGCCTTTCCTTTTGCCTTTGCAAAAATTTGTGTAGGAAAACAGTGTGAACACTGAGGCTGTGGAACTAATGTATCGAAGAAACCCCATTCTGAGATATACCCAGCATCCCTTACATTCACCTCTTCTGCCACTACCATACGGAGAGGTCAGCGAAAGCCGTGAGTATCATCCATCAGCTAAATCACTCGCACATGTAAAACACACAGAAAGTAACATAAGAAATGTACTTTTATGAAATGTATCATAAACATCCAACACGGTAACCCTGTTTGCTGTTAGTGCAGCGATGCATTTTGTACTTTTACTTCATCTTCCTCTCTTTTTTTCTTGCAAATAATCTTACTAACAGATCTCTTTCTTCTTCCTTCTGCAGTGCAAAAGGAGAAGGGTTATGGAAGCCTGCAGGATGAGGCTGTGAAGATCTTTAACTCTCTTCAGGAAATGGAGATAGTTTCAGACCCTGTCGCCATCATCCAGGGCATCCTGCAGACCTGCCACGATCTGCGGCCACTGAAAGACGAGGTGTACTGTCAGCTGATCAAACAGACCAATCACGTGCCCCAACCCAACAGCCCTGCAAACCGCGCACACTGGCACCTGCTCACCTGCATGAGCTGCACCTTCCTGCCCAGTCGCGCCATCCTGCGCTACCTCCGATTCCACTTGAAGAGGTAACAAAGAGAGATGCTCATTCAATAGCATCTTGGAGTTGAATAATGGTTATATTTCCATTTCAAGGGTCATTTGATACACACTCTGTTTTTTGGGTCTCTTTCTGTGAATAATCCCTCAGAGTTAGAGAGCGCTATCCTGGCACTGAGATTGAGAAGTATGCCCACTTCATCGGTGAGTCCCTGAAGAAGACAAAGACCAGGGAGTATGTGCCCTCTCAGGAGGAGATCGCCGCCCTGCTGAACAGACAGGAAATGACAACTACTGTGTACTGCCATGGAGGAGGGTCTTGCAAGATATCCATCAACTCTCACACCACAGCTGGAGAGGTAGAAATTTTGTCGATTTTATTAACATACTCAGACATCATTTTAACATCTCTGCCTTGAAATATATAATGAAGTGACATAGCATGTCCTGCAAATTAGGATGAAAGTGATATCTTATTTGTCTGTGTCAAGGTTGTGGAGAAGCTGATTCGTGGTCTGGCGATGGAAAACAGCAGGAACATGTTTTCTTTGTTTGAACACAATAAGGTGGCGAGTCGGGCCATAGAAAGCCGCGTAATTGTGGCAGATGTGCTCGCGAAGTTTGAGAAGTAATGAACAGTTCATATGGTCTATGTTGATTAGATGATTTTGAATGAATGGTTGCTCCATTTCTGTATTTAAAACTATCTAGAGCATCTATAAAACCTATATTTCTGTACATGTTATTTCTGTTGGCTTTATGACTGAGGGTCATCTGCACTCCTCTGCTCTTTCAGGTTGGCAGGTAGTGGAGAAGAGGAGGAGGAAGGGCCCTGGAGGCTATATTTCAAGCTCTATTGCTTTCTTGATGTGGAAAGCATGCCCAAAGAGGGAGTAGAATTTGCCTTCATGTTTGAGCAGGTGAATTAATTATTTGTATTTTGTAAAATTTTTATAGCCATTAATTCTTACTATGGTTTTTAGTCAGACCCGCTTTAAAAATGTTTCTAATCTAATCATGTGTGTTGGAATGTTTTTTAAATTGAATTTACCTAGAATATGCAAAACTTTATTTACAGTCTTCACATCACTTTGACTCCAAAAATCAAATCTTTCTCTAACAACAATTGGCAGAAAAAATGCTAGCTGCAAAAATCAAACAATTTACATTGTTTCATTATATAAAACTATATTATAGTAAAAAAAAAAATAATTTTCACTTGTATTTTCTACAATTCAAACATTAATAATAAAATAAAATAAATGGAATGAAGTGAAGATATGCTTCAGTGTCATGTTTTCCCCCAGTTTTTTCCCCTCTTTTTGTGATATAGCATGATTGGCCAATTTGGGCAAATGGGCACTGATTTGGGCATCTTTATTGGGCAACTGATTTGAGCATATTTATCTCTTTTTTCACCGTCTCTCTTAGGCTCATGAGAGTCTCATCAGTGGACATTTCCCAGCCCTTGAGGAAACCCTCCAGCACTTAGCAGCCCTGCGACTGCAGTACATCCACGGTGACGTGGCCCGTACACCCTGGAGCCTAAGCAGCGTCTACCCTGTTGGACGACTTCGCACCCGCATACTCCAGTCCACTAAAGCAGGGGGTGCTGGAGTACCCGGGGCTGGTATAGTAGGGCCAGGAGGTCACACTTTAGAACGCCGGAAGACCAACTTCCTAGACGGGACGCTGAGACGCAGCTTCAAGACGGGATCGCTGAAGAAACAGCGTGTCGAGGAGGAACAGATGTTGGAGATGTTTGTAAAGGAGGAGATGTCAGCTACACTGACCAGCGTGCTGGAGAAATGGAGCCGTCTACAGGGCATGCCTCAGCACCAGGCCATGCTCAACTACATGACCATCATCAAAGAGTGGCCAGGATACGGGTCCACACTGTTTGATGTGGAGGTATAAATCATAAATATATGATTACAGCCTTGTAAAGTAGCAATATTTATCATTACTAACCCTAAGCCAAGCCCCAAAATGCTATGTTATTTCAAACTTGTCACAATACATTTGGAACTAATATACCTATAATTCTAACAGATAGCTAAATTCTGACTCATTTTCAGTTTTCCTTAATGTTACAGTAAGTAATTTAGCCACTGATGTTAATTGACATTACTAATTACATGTGTCGTTTTTATTTATCTGTCTGTAGTGTAAGGAAGGAGGCTTCCCTCATGATCTGTGGCTGGGAGTCAGTGCTGAAAACGTCTCTGTGTACAAACGGGGTGAACCTAAACCACTCGAAACTTTCCAGTATGAGCACATTGTTTTCTTCGGAGCACCTCAGCCCAGCACATACAAAATCATTGTTGATGAAAGAGAGATGTTCTTCGAGACGTCTCAGGTAATACACTCCTGTGCCTCTGTTATCAGTGCTATGTTGTACAAAATGTTGTATATTTGTTTGTTTTAATGGTTGAGGAGCATTTAAATCTTTTGAGGATGTACACTAAATTAAATAAACATATATTACAACAAGAAATAAAGACACATTTTACAGTATTTGCTCTAAATTGAATCTATAAGTCTAGCACTTCTTATTTAATCACTATATTCTCTTTTCCATGGTAGGATTAGCATGTGGTTTTTAACATACAGATTAACAAGTTTTTGTTTTGTGCTTTAAGGTGGGTGAAATCACTAAGATCATGAAGGCGTACATCAACATGATTGTCAAAAAGCGCTGCAGTATCATGTCCATCACCAGCAACAGCAGCACCTGGATGAGGTGATCGACAACATAATGTGTCCAGCAACATAATGTGATGAAAGTGAAGTATACGGCTGACCGTTACTGACCGGAGAACGAGAAGCAGAGAAGAAACAGACTTCATCTCTACAACGATTTAACTTAACCTACTGGAATCCTCTGTATACCTGTCCTAAATACAACAGCACACGTTTATTGCGTATTTATCGGACCAGTTTCACCTTTACGAAGCACAACAAAGCTTGGTAACCTGCTCACTGTTCCCTCCCCTCACTGCCAGCACCCTGAATGATGACCAAACGTTTCTTCTCCATTTCATTACCTTCTCTCCATCTTCAGTTTTCAGTCAGTGATGTAGTACCTAACCGACAACCACCTATGACTCCGTATACCGGTAGTTTTACAGAGGTGTGTATATTGTGCTTGTGTGTGAGATCAGAGTTTGCACGCACACACACACAGGTGAATGCTTTGTGGAGGACATACAGAGCCATTTTGTAAAGCCATGACTGCTGGAGGCCGTTCAGAGAGCAGGAGGAGAAAGCTATGCGTTAACATTCCCATACATCTCAATGGCAGCTGCTCAGCTGGCGCAGGACACCCCAGAAGTTGAATTCTGCCATCTTTGCTCATGGCCCCTCAATTTCACAAACAGGTTTTTTTTGAGCCAATCGCCTTAGCCATAAATGCCATGTGACTGGAGGCGCTGGAAAATGACATCATGGCAGCTCTGATTGGCTGATGTCGCTGCAGGGAACATGCACAGTTGCTTAAAATATATTAGTCACTGATAAAAAATCTGCTATAATGAAATAACTTGTGTTGCTTCTGAAAAAATTTGCCTTGTGCCCTCAGAAGTGTAGTTACGAAATCTACCAGCAGAGGCCACTTGGAGTCAGTTAGCCAATCAGATCACAGCGTATCTGGGGCCGGCAGTATGTGGATATCAGTAGCGACTGTCTACTCGTTTATGAGACTGTTCACACATTATCAATCCAACAAACATCCTATTTTGTATTAAATGCCAGAGTCTATAAATACATATGCTGAAGTGTTCCATTTGATACTGTCTAAATTATTTGTATTTACAGTAATTACAACGTTTCCTTTTTTATTATTTTTGCCACTGACACAAAGCTTGTGTAGTTTTAACTGTACCAAGGCACAAATGCATACCCATTTTGACCAGTTTGGTAATTTAGAGCAGTTCCTAAGCACCTCTATTTGCTATTACAGAGATCAGATAATTGTTATTAAGTGTTATGCGAGTAGAGCCAGGTCTGCCTGCCCAATGAGCAATGAAAAGTACTGTATTAAGCAACAGCAGTCAAGTTTCAATAAGCATGTTTTGTACTCTTTTAACACATACGTGACATTAATTGTGAAACACTTATTCTATGATTAAAGCACTTTCAACTAAAGAGCCTGTTCCACTAAGACATTTGATGCAAAAATTATGGGCCCACAGAATGCAAGGCTAGGGATCTTATTTACATAAATTATCATTCATAAGTTTAAGGTCAGTAAGATTTTTTTGTAACAATTTTATTCAGCAAGGATGCATTAAATTGACCAAAAGGACATTTATAATAACAAAATATTTGTTTTTCAAATAAATGCTGTTCTTCTGAACTTTACATTCATCAAATAATCCTGGAAAAAAAAGAAGCGCAACTGTTTCAACTTATAATAATAATTAATTGAGCACCAAATCAACATATTAGAATGATTTCTAACAGATCATGTGACACTGAAAAATGGCGTAATGGCAGCTGAAAATTCAGCTTTTTCATCACAATAATAAATTACATTTTAAAGTAATATTAAAATAGAAAACAGTTATTTCAAATTGTAATAACATTTAACAATGTAACAATGTTGGTATAAACAGTCCTTGTATACATTTGAAATCTCATTAAACTGTCAAATGCACAGAAAAACCAGCACAAACTGAGACAAGTGGGTCTTTGAATTAAAAAAAGGCTTTGCTTAAGGACCTTATAAATCTTTTGAGGATGTATATAGTTTGCTGGCATGGACATTATACCCATTTACTTTACTGGGAAAGCCTCAAAATCTTTAAAGTGCATCTTGACCAACTGGTGGCTAATCTTATGTAGCTGCATATCTGTTCCCTCAAACCACAGGTGAAGCGACCGTCTTTTCTTTACAAGCACTGGCTAACAAATTACTATAAACATCTCAGGCATTAAGACACATTCTTAAAGTTTAAGTTCGCTTTCTGGCAATTTATCATGGCCAAATCAGCCTTTTTGTGTTTCATGTCATGATGGAGCTCTGCTAAGACTGTTACCAGAGTGGCCATGCTGCCAGAGAGATGACAGACAGCAGACATAACAGAGATCTATAATGGACCATAACAAAAAGAAACATCATTCACTGACTCGCGATCAACACGGAATGAGTCCAAGTATGCCTGTTGTTTTTCTTTATGTGATTATAATCCTGCACCTGTGTAATTTTGCTGTTTGATATGCAATTATATTTGTCAGTGTAATGCAAGTTGTTTTTTGTGAACGCAAGTATGTCTGAATTTAACGATGAATTGAAACAAGGATAATGATGATGGAATATGATTGTGTTTAGGGAGCTATGTGTATGTGGATTTCTATTATGATACTGTGATGATTATATTTATGAAACAGAATGGGAAGGGGTGGGTGAGGGTTTGTTGTATTTATCTGTTATTATGGTGTTATAGTTGATAATTGGAGAAATTAAGGTGCAGGGTCACCCTTTCATGCTGATCTCAGATTTTTCTCCATTCTCCATTCCCTTTTTTTTTAACCACTGAGGATCAGATCAGTATTAAAGGGGTGCCAACACTGAAGAAATTGATAGAATTGGCTTGTCATGAGTAAGTGGAGAAGATTTGATGTGACGGTGTGTTGAAGTAGCAAGCAGTATGTGTTGATGTTGGTGTGTGTGTTAAGAGAAGATGGTGTCAGAGCAGCCGAGAAGACTCGGTTGCTAGTTTACACTCTGCCTCATACACACATGATCATAGACATGTTCACACAGAAAGATCAGCATAAAACATGCACACAGATATAGCACGGTTGGTTCTGTCTCTCTCACACATTCACACTGGGGTCCTTGCTCAGCTGCAGGCAGCCAGTACAAGGCCTGAATGTAATTTCTTCATTGCCATTGTTATAATACTATAAATTATAGCTCGAGAGAGAGAGAGAGAGAGAGAGAGAGAGAGAGAGAGAGAGAGAGAGAAAAGAATAATTGTGCTTATTAAAATATTGAGAGGGAGAAAAAAATGTTTTCTTTTGTAACTGGCTTTACAAAATGCTTTAATAAATTATTGTAATGTATCTCAAAGTAGTGGTTTTGTTTGTATATTGAATATCCTAAATGGATATTGTTTGTTCAGGACTTGCTTGGCCAAGTATGGTGTCCCATACTCGGAATTTGTCCTCTGCATTTAACCCATAATTAATTAAATGTTAATTATTAATACAAATGTGTACAAATAATTCAAATGATTAACATTTTTGTATTTTACTTTTAATTTATCTGGTTTATTTGTTAACGTTATTCCATATTGATAATTCCATTAGGACAATTTATCTCATACGCATTACATACATATTATTTCATACATATAGAATACAAATACAGAATAATTACATTATAGTATACATACCCTTACGAAAAAGAAGTTTATTCAAGTGTGCTATACTTCTTTTAAACTAAAAATAGGAAAGTATACTTTTAGTCTACTTTTACTCTTTTTATGTACTTCTCAGAAATGGCCTTTATGTACTTCTCAGAAATATACTTAAAATTACATTTAAGTATACTTGACTTATACTTAGAAAAAGTCTAAATATATTTGAGCTATAATTGTTTGGGGTGTTGATCGACTCTATCTACATTTTGATTATCATTCTGAATCCAATTCATAGTCTTTTTTCAGCTTTTTGTTCAAAATGTTGTTTATTTCTTTATTTTTTATTTATGAAACTTATCCACATTCAAGTGTTTAAAAAAGAATGCACGAAGCTAGAATTAAATGTTTTTGTTTACAAGCAGATACCCTGTTCTTTTGATGTTTTGTATGTTCAGATATATTCAAAATTAATACCTAAATAGGCACATAGGATAGGATAGTATACTTAAAGTATGATGTAAAGTTCACTTAAAGAAAACTTACGAGTATACTTGCAGTATAAAACT